TTTTATAGCAATGGTTTAGCTAACCACTAACCACCTAACAAACTAACTGACTTAGCTAACCAACCTAACAGATTAACCACCTTTACATGCACGTGTTGTATTGACAGCAGTCTAACACTGCTCTTCACCCATCATCTACTATGATAGTGGGATATTGGAAATCGTTCGTTGGAATTTGCTCTGAAAGTCATATGTTCGTTATACTAAAACTTGTGAAACATTAATGATACTAATGTACTGCAACAAAAACATCAAAAAGCACTAAAACTTATTAAACACAATTGATACAAATCTTAACTCTGGCAACGACGTCAAAAACTTGATATGCTGAAAATGCATCAGCAATTACACAAGTGCACATGTTGTAGCAAGTAATAATAATGCAAAATTGCACAAGTCGATTTCACAAAATTAATACGCACCAAATGGTCTCAAGTATTAATACGAATGGTTTCAAATGGTGATTGAGTGAAGTAAAAGTAAACTAATCTAATGCTACTACTAAATTCTATGACTAAATGCTAGACTAATATGGTACAATTATGGTAAATGAGTGGAATACGAGCAATCCATGTAAAAAATGGCAAGAATAACCTCTAGTCAAATGAAACACGCATAACTAAGAATCTAATTCAGTCTCCCAACTAACGAGGTACCAACAATTCCAAATGAGCAATAACCTTTCACTACCCCATAGCAATTGTGACGTTATCCTAAGGTGACGTATTTCTATGGCCCTAGAATGATGAAGATCAAGCTCTACGTTGTACAAGGCGGATACGTAGCCTTGCAAGGGACATAAACGCTACAACCTCTCTTTCGAGGGTCCAAATATCATAACAATTGAATATCACATATTAGGTCCAAAGATGCAAACTAGGTGCACATATTTGACACTGGGACTAAGCTCTCAACTGAAATAACGTAATGCTACAGCTTTATTAACTGGAATTCCAAATATTCAGTAATACAAACAAGTCTGAATGTATATTATTTCATTCAACAAAGAAAAACTAAAACATGATTAAGAAGAAGAAATGAATCTAATCCACGCTTGAAGATGATTTGAGAGATAAGACGTAGACAGACCCTCCTGCTTTCGAGGGACATCCGTCCATGCGGTAGCTGTGGCAGATTGGTGGTGACCGTGGAATTTGCGACAATGCTAAAGAGTTTTGGGATTTTTCTCTGAAACTGTCACTACTTTAGCCCTCGATCCTCTTCGGTGAGTAAAAATCAAAAGCTGCCACTATCTCTGCTCTTCAACTACTTCTCAAGTGCAGCAGCTTATTTGTAGCATGAGAGTCGGCTATTGTGGCTTAACGGCTAACAGATTTTTCCCGCTCATTATAACAGCTTCAACCACGTTAGATATCTAGTAGAATATTCCTCCTCGAACTTTCCATCTCCAACATCCTAGAACAACCACGAATACGCTTATGCTCTAGCGGTTGTTCCCTGAAACTGATGTGCCATTCATCATTTTTGCATTACTCAACACGATTTATTAGACTTTATTCTAAAAATAATGCAACAACAAAAGGTTTCCATTATTATTTAAAAACTATACAAAATCTTATATAACGCAAACACTATCCTACTAAAGTATTATTGTTGCACTGTATAACTAGAAGTTATCACCTACACAAACTGAAATCAAATAACCCAAAATCTAATCAATTAATATCAAGAACTTAAAGAGTTCTTCTACCATAAAATTTAAAGGCTTAGAGAAGATGAAGAACAAGCTTTCTCCCTCAATTTCAATTCATTTTACCTCTTAGAATAGGTAAAAAAATAAGAGTGTTTTGCTTTTCTTACTGGTACTTCATTATTTTTATATTTATCCAAACATATAAAATTTATTCTTCTCCAATTTTTTTTTTGATTTAACCATCGATATTTTATCTATTAATAGACTACTCTAAATCAAGTTTTGCAGAGATTCATTATGGGGGCGACCCTCCCAATTCAGTTTGTTTCATTTACAAACGTCGAGATTGAAACTCCTAAACTTGCTTAAAAGACCTAGTGTCTCATCCCACTAGACCATATGATTGTTAGTTAATTCTCCCACTTTTAATATAACCAAAACATACCATCTATCTTTAGAAACTTAGATTTCCACTATCAATGCCTTTTGGTCTAACGGTCATGCAACTCTTAGAATATTAAGGTTAGCATCATAAAAGCATCATAAAAGTTGGATGACCAACTGTATAATTTACCCCAAAAATATTATAAGCATTAAAGCTCAAATAGGCTAGCGAATTGTTCAATCAAATAGTCTAGTGTGACTTTTTCGATTAGGCTTGTAAATGAGACGAGACAGATCGCGAGTTACTCGAGATTGACTCGATCAAGGCTCGATAAATACTCGGATCGAATGGACTCGACTCGAGTTCTTAACGAGCCGAAACGAGCTACTTGATATTCGACTCGAAAAGCTCGTAAGCAGCTCGAAAATATAAATATTAAGATTTTTATTTTTTTAAAAAATAATAATAATATTAACATTTATGTATTGATTTTTTTAAAAAAATACAATAAGATTTTCATATATTTAAGATTCAGGTTCGAGTTTGAGGCTTCAATCGAGTTAAGTTTAAGATTTTTTTTCATTTCGAGCCTCTTCGAGTTGCTCACGAGCTTCAGTTCAGGATTTCGAGTTCGAATCGAGTTTAAAAATTTTAAGCTCGCAAGTTTTCGAGTTGAGTCGAGCTTCATTTCAGAGTTTTTGAGTCGAGTCGAGTTCAACAATACTCTAACTCGACTCGACTCGTTTACACCCCTATCTTCGATAGCCCAAATTCAACTCGACAATTATACAATTAAATTTGATTTTTTAATTGAACTTAAATAATTTACTCTCTAAGTACACGTGAAAAAAATCATATCAACATAAATTAATAGAACAAAATCATATTTTTGGAATAAAAATTTCTGAATATTGACGTCAATTCCAAAGAAAATCAAACATTATCTTAAAATTAACTTTTATAATATTAAATAATTATTTGTATATAATAGTACAAAAACATAAAGTGTAAATTATCTATTTGGTTATCTACCTATTATTAAGTTTATGTTTTGATCACTCAACTATTTTTTTGTTAAATCAAACATAACATTACATTTGAGTTCTTTCTTGGTCACCCGCAGTTCAAAAATTAATAATGAGGATGATGTATTACGATAAGGTATTGTCATATTTGCATAAAACATTAATAAAAAAATTCATATCAATATTACTATTAATTTTTTAACGTCAGATGACTAAATCAGAATCAAAATGTAATATTAGGAATGATTTTGAAAAAATAATAGTTACATGACCAAAAAAATTAAATAATAGATGAATGACTAAATAAATAATTTACCCAAACATAAAACCCCTAAAACTGCAATAGTACCAACTTGTGAGTCCCGGTTCCCATTTGTGAAGAATTTTTTCTCTGCGAATAACAATAAAAAAATACCATATTAGTATCATTATTAATTTTTTACTAGAAGATATTTAAAATAAAATTGAAATATAATGTTAGTATATTTTTTAAAAAAATATGAATAGATGACGAAAATAGACACTAAGGTGGTGTTTGTTTTTACTGTGTAAGGTCTGCAAAGCTCTTATGTCTGCGTCGCGCAGACCACGCGCAGACATTGGGCTTCGCAGACCGTTTGTTTTTTAGAAGACATAAGCCCTTCTAACGTCTGCGCGTGGTCTGCGCGGCGCAGACGTGGTCTTATGTATTCAGACGTCTTCTAACCTCTTCAAAGAGGTTTTATTTAATTTTATATTATATTTGATTTTAATTTTAATATTAATTTTTTAAATAAATTAAATATTAATATTTTAATATTATATTATAGATATTAATTTAATATTAATTTTTTAAATAAATTAAATATTAATTTTTTAATATTATATTATAGATATTTAATTTTATATCATATAAATTATTTTATATATTATTAAAATTTTATTTATTTTAATTATTTTGATTTAAGTTTAAATATAATACTTTTTAGATTTGTTATTTTTTAAATTATATTTAAACTTTTTATACAAAATTTAAGTATTTAAACATTGCTTAATAAAAATGATTTCATTGTTTGATATTAAGATTTTAAAATATAAAAAATTATAAATTATGTTTTTAAAATTTTAAAATATAATCACAATTAAATAAAAATAATCATAAAATAATTTGATAAATTAAAAATATTTTCTAAAATCATCATATTATAAAAAAAATTATGAATATATATTTAAAAAAATTAAAAGTATTACAAAATTACATATTTAAATCATAAATTAATGATCATTTATAAATTTTATTCTATAAAACTTATAAAACTATAATACATGTGATTATGTGAGACGTATAATAGAATTAATAAGGTAGTGTTTGTTTTTTAAAAAAAATTATTATTGTAGTTGTATAAATTATTTAAATTTAGTATTGTAAAACTAAAATTATTTAAATATCAGTATTACAAAATTCTTTTAAGTTTAAAAAATCTGTTTATTTATATTTCAGTTTATTTTAGCAGTTTGCATACGTTAAAAAACAAACAGTCTTTTTCTTGCAGACTGCAGACTTTTGGTCCACCTCTTCTGCTGCAGATGCCTGCAGATGTGGTCCGCAGACTGCAGACATTTTACCTCTTCAAAACCAAACACCACCTAAGTAATAGGTGAGAAGTCAAGTTTTTAAATTTCGTGTAGAATTGTTCGAATTTATGTTTAAATATAAATATTTATAATATTATAATACTATTTAAAATTACACTATATAAATTTATTCATACTTTTTATAGTATTATACATATATCATATAAAATTACAATATTTAATTCAAACTTAAAAATAAATCATATAATTATTTAAAAAAAATTAAGTTATTCAACTTACCTATACTCAATTTTTTTTGGCTCAAAAACCCTCCTTACCTCTTCTTCTAGCTTTGGGCTTCCCTTTTTGTTTCTTCTCATCGTCTCTTCAAGTTGACCATTTTGAATTGAAAAGGGAACATAAAGATAGTGAAATGCGTTTAAGGGATGCATAAACTGATAAGAAGAAGCCCTTCTGGCCCTCCCCTTTTTTGCACTTCTTCACTTTAGACCTTCTGTGCCTTTTCTTTCTCTTTCTTTTACCTCTGCTGCTTCTATTACTAACACTACTTCTTTCACCATGCCCACTGCCACTATCCCCGGCGGCGGCTCAGCCCTCGCCGCCACCGCCTCTCTTACCAATAAAAACCCTTCACTTTCTCGGCGGCTCTACATCAATGCTAGTTTTATTTCACAGCCCCGTGTAAATGCAAGAATCACTCTACGTTCTTGGCCCGGGAGAGTTGGGATACGACCGGCTTGGTGCCATTCGAGTGGGATGGAGGAGCAGTTGAGTCCAATTGAAAGCTCCAAGGGTTTGAGTGAAAATGAAGGTAAAGAAGAGGAAGATAAGCCGATTAGGTTAAATAGAAGGCAAAAGGATTCTGGGGTTTTGATGGGGAGTCCGGATTTGTTGACGGTTCCAGGTGTTGGTCTTAGAAATTTGAGGAAGCTTGTTGAGAATGGGATTCAAGGAGTTGCAGAGCTCAAACAGTTGTACAAGGAGAAGGTTCTCTTTCTTTTTTACTCGGGAACATGTAATTCTATACGGGAAGCTTATTTGGATTCAACTGTGGTTTAAATGTGCATTTTTGGGTTTTGATTTTCAAGCTGATGATGTAGAAATTGGGGATAAATAATGACTTTTATTTCATTAAAGTTCATTTGCTTGAAGTGTTCAGTTTTTCAAATTTGATCTTTCCCAAGTTATATATTGTTGGAGATAAATGATTTTGTTGGTGTAATGTGTTTAATAATAATAATTCACAGGCATGGTAGCCACCAGTTATGGGTGGTTTCTACATTTGCCAGTGTTGATTATGAGTGTACCTGAAAGTAATGGATGGAAAAATGAATGAAACCTCATCTGTATCTAAAACAGTCCCAATGGTTGTTATGAACCCGGATTTAAATAACGGTTGTGGTCGTTTTTTTGGTTACAATGTGTTTATCATGATTGTGGACATAGCGGGCACTATTGTGATGATTGTGGTATCATGGTCATACAATAGCTGTATCGGCCCACTATATCGCGGGCGCCAACGGCTATTTAAATCCCAATACGACTCCCTAAACGTGAGGAGCATAAATATTTATTTAATTGATAGTAAGAACTTGTGCAAACTTGTGATATTATTGGTATGTGAGAAGACATTTTTATAGGTATGTGTTTTTATTTAAGCTTTACGCATTCTTTTGGCAGTTTCTAGGAAAGGCTAGTCAGAAGATGGTTGAGTATTTACAAAGTTCTGTTGGGATTATCCACAGAAATCATGCTGAGAGTATAACAACTTTTATTAAGGAGAGAGTGGATGAAGATCTGAGGGATTCAGATTCAGATACAAAGCTAACTGCAAAGAATAGGTTAACATTCTGTGTTGAAGGGAATATCAGTGTTGGAAAGACAACATTCCTTCAAAGAATAGCTAATGAAACACTAGAGCTGCGTGATCTTGTTGAGATTGTTCCAGAACCTATTGAGAAGTGGCAGGATGTTGGACCTGACCACTTCAATATATTAGATGCATTTTATGCTGAACCACAAAGGTATGCCTATACCTTTCAAAATTATGTATTTGTTACAAGGGTTATGCAGGAGAGAGAGTCATCTGGGGGACTTAAGCCACTCAGATTAATGGAAAGGAGCATTTTCAGTGACAGAATGGTATACATTGAACAGTTTCTTATTTATCTTATTTTTTTCCCTGCGCCTTATTATTCTCTATTTTGTCATCTTCTGCAATTCAAGAAGTTTTCTTTAATCTATGTTTTTATCATGAGGGTTGTGAAGTAAGTTTGCCCCAGTATGAAAACAAAGGATCTTAGTAGTTCCTATGAATTTTCTGAATTCTTGCAGTTCCCTCTTTTCTCCTTTGATTTTTCTTTCCCAGCGAAGAGGAAGAAAGCTGACCTAAGAGTTTGAAGGCTAATAACTTTTATCTCATTTTTACCTAAGAGAGACCTGACCCTAAGAGTGTCAAAGCTGACAACTTTATCTATTTTTCTTGATTAAGGTGTTCGTACGAGCTGTTCATGAAGCAAATTGGATGAATGAGATGGAGATCAGCATTTATGATTCGTGGTTTGATCCAGTTGTATCATGCTTGCCGGGGCTTATTCCTGATGCTTTCATCTATCTAAGGGCAAGTCCTTATACATGCCATAAGAGGATGATGCTTCGTAAAAGAGCAGAAGAGGGTGGAGTGAGCCTAGATTATCTCCGTGACTTGCATGAAAAGCATGAGAGTTGGCTTTTACCTTTTCAAAGCGGAAATCATGGCGTACTTTCTGTTAGTAAGTTACCTGTCCATGAGGATAGCTCTTTGCATCCTGGTATCAGAGATCGGGTGTTCTTTTTAGAGGGTAATCAAATGCATTCTAGCATTCAGAAGGTTTGATGGTTTCCTTATTGTGGAATTTAGATTGCTTTCCTCTTTTCTACTGCATCTTATGCTCGTTGTTTTTGAACAGGTTCCTGCTTTGGTGCTTGACTGTGAACCCAACATTGATTTCAGCAGAGATATTGAAGCAAAGACACAGTAAGACAAACTTTACCTTCAATTTTCATCGTATTCACTTAAGTGATAGCAGTTCACTGAACAATATTAGTCTTTGCTAATTTTACCGCGAATCAAAAAACTATTTACAAGTGGGACATAGTTGAGAAAGACTAATGTGGCCGAAAGGATTTGAACCTTAACCTCAACTTTCTAAAAAATGAATAACAATCACTAGGGCCAAGCATGGTTTGAATATTTTCACAGAATAAGATGTCAGTAATTTTGAAAGCTGTATTGATGGGTATATAGATCTTTTTCTGGTTAAAAGTAGGATATACTTGAGGGGGACTAGTGGAGCCGAAAGTATTTGAACCTTAGCCTCAACCTTAAAAGGAAATAAACAATCACTATGGCCAAATGTGCTTTGAATATTAAACGAGCGTTGTCAGTTATCCAATAAAAGAATAAATAGCAGAGCTTTTTCAATGGAACATTCTGAAACTATTAAGAATGATCCTTGATTTGCATTTTATTTTGTTTTTAATGAGATGGTTCGAATCTAATACACTACATAGACCAATTTTTGGGAACATGCTCTGCAAAATAAGCTTCTATTGTCTATTAAATCAATACAATGAAAACTGGCCTGAAGAGTGTTCTGAAATATCAGTCCTAGACTCTCACGTCGTAACAATGTCTAATGGATCGGTTCCATGTGTTCTAGTGTTTCTTCTTACACTATTATTGAGAAGTTCATACATGGAATGTGCTTTTTTTGTTTAATTTATTCTTGAACTGGCTTTGGTAAAGGTATGCACTGCAAGTTGCAGAGTTCTTCGAATATGTGAAGAAAAAGAAGGAATTCTCATCAACAAAAGCTGGTGAAGAAGGCAAAGGAAGCAGTCAACCTCAGATTGTTCTGCCTAGTACAGGTGGATTATGGGTAGCAGATGGAAAACATTTCCCAGATGCTGCTCTAAAATCTGTAGAATTCCAGCGAGCCATGTCCTACATGTCAGGGTCAGGCTAGTTGGGGTTTTCATGCATTATTTGGGTTTATTAATGGTGGAGTTGACTCTTGGTGGCATGCCTCTCTGTAGAAACACTTTTAACCATTAACCTTTAGTAATGTAGAGATGTTTGTTGAACTCAGTCTATGTTTATAGGAATTTTCTTTAAATGCATTTTGGTGGTAGGTGGTGTAACGGTTTTTGATTGAATGGTACTTTGCAATGGTTGCATTTTAGGTATGATTTGAACTCGATTATGTGTTCCGAGTCATATACGATGTTGTCCGATTGTGATTCTAGTAAGAATTTCGCAGTGTTTTGATTGAAGACTGAAAATGCACAAACAAAGTTACAAGAAAGAAATTAATACAAGTAAATTGAAAATGAAAGGTTGTAGGTTATGATAAAGTGGTTTGAAAGATGATGGAAAAGTGATGGTTGTTGTGGTTTAATGAAATGAAGGAAGTGGAGAAAGTGTAGTGGTGATAATAATTTATAGTGTGGAAAGAATGAAAGTATGGTGAAGGTAAAAGATGTTATGTCATGAGAGATGAATGATGAAATAAAGAGTATGGATTGAGACCCGCTAGCTATATAGAGCTAGGAACCAACAATATACAAAGATGGAATCAAAGTAATAGAAGGTGGAACCTGACCCACTAGCTATAGGTGAGTTAAGAACCAACATTATAAAAAATGAAATGGAGAAGGTTTCAAGACTGACAAGAAACCGATAGAATTCTAATTCAAGAACTAAAATGAAAGCAATTTTTCAAAGAGTTTATTATGCAAAAAGTTTTAAGTACAAATGTCATGGAGGTGCCTATTTATAATGTTGATAGGCACCATATGAAGAGCTTTTACAATTAAAATAAAACAATCATCACTCTTACATCATCTTTCAAACCACTTTATCATAACCTACAACCTTTCATTTTCAATTTAGTTTATCAATTTTTTTTCTTATAACATTATTTGTGCATTTTCAGTCTTCAATCAAAGTATTGCGAAGTTCTTACTAGAATCACGATTGGGCAATATCGTATATGACTCGAAACACATAATCGTATATTTCCTATTATAGCACACGCCTTTTCAAGAGTTCAAAGCATTAACCGTGCATAGGATCTCCTATTTAGTGGGACCTGTTGATTCATTTGTTAGGTGTAGGTTTAATCTTAACGAAATAAATATATTATTTATAAAATAATTTGATAAATTCATAAAATTATAATTTGAAAAAATATTTTTTTTAATTTTAAAAATGAATTGTGAATTAGATATATATGTTATTTTTAAATTATAGAATTAATATTCAGAAATATTGAAAAAATATATTAAGTGAAAATTTAATTCCAATTGAGGGGTTAAATAATAATGTGGTCTTAAAAAGATTCTTAGCAACTATTTGAAAATTGTCATAAAAATAATAATGTATATTAATGTGTGATATTCATTGTAATTTTTTATTGATTCATCTATTAGGTTATTATTATTATTTATGGATTGCACGATTCTTATTAAATGTTATTTTGTGGATTCTATTCTTACGTCCTCGTTGAGCGGGCAAAATTTTTATTATAATGTGAATGAAAGAATAATTCATAAAATAATGTGATTCTGAAGGCAAAATTTTATAATAATGTGAATGAAAAAAATAATTCATAAAACAATGCGGTTATGAAATTATTTGTTTGAATGAGGCGACAGTTACAGTGACTATGGGAGACGCTTTGATTCCATGATGACAGAGTGTCTTCAACCTTGAATGGGGGAGACGTCAGTAATGCAATGCGTCTCCTTATATTTACCTTCCACGACCCAGCTGTTGTGAGTATTGATTCTCATAGCAACTTTAACCCATGCACTGCATACAACCTATACCCCGTAATATAAAAAAATATTTCCCTACATGCAGCCTATATCCTATAACATAAAAAAATCAACTCTAACCCATATTCTGACCAACCAAACAACTATAACATTAAAAAAAATCAGCTATATATGTATGTATGAAGGAGTTTGGGAATTGGCTTCATAAGAAAAGCAAAAGATTGAAAGAGGGAACAATTGATAGAAGGGAGCATTTGCAAAGAAGATTGATAGAGGGAGCCTATAAAGAATTTGGTGCGTATTTTTCTTTCGTTATTCTAAGTTGAGTAATTTTTTTTTATTTTGTCTCATATTATTTTATTAAATATTATTTATTTAATATTATGTTTTTATAGATAAAAGAGTAATCAAAAGTTTTTTTTCTTCAAATCAAGTTGTTGGAAGAAACTGTCAAGTATGAAGAATTTTTTTTGAAGTATTTTACAATTTATTATTATGTTAATATAATATTTATAATGTTTGTAGTTGTATTTTACGATTTATTGTTATGTTATGTTAATAATGTTATTTTATAATATTTTTAAATTGTATAATGATTTTACGGTTTATTTTTATTATGTTATGATCATAGTATGCACATGTGTTTTTTTATTCTAAATACAATTTTTTTTATTGTAGAGAAAATGATTAACAATTTTTTCATGATTGTCAATTATGATGGTCTGTTTATGGAAAATGATGTTGGAGTTTTTTTTTCAGTTTGAAAGACCTATAAATATGATGTTCAAAAGAGACATCACATTTGTAGAAATGAAGTAAAGGATAATAAGAAAAATTCAAGTTGTAGTTGATGGTTTGAAGTATAGGTTTATGGCATGTCCCAATGCAGTTAGATATGCTGCAGTACCACTTGAAGAAGATGATGATATTGGATCCATGATTGAATTACATGAGTCAACAAATATTGCAATTATTGAGTTATTTGTTGATGTGCATAAGATATCGATGTTCTTGGGTAATCAAGAAATGTGGCTGGAAATTAATCTCAAATGACTTTTGAAAGTGAGTTTGAGGACCCAACATACAGGTCAACAAACTGTTTTATGACACTATTAGAAAGTGAAAATGAAGTCGGTGGGACATTTGCAGCACCAGAGTATGAGGCGAGAAACATATATCATTCGGAATTGACTATGATGTTGATATTGAAAATCGATAGGGAGAAATACATGATGATTCCAAAGAACATGAAGAAATTGAGGAACTCATTTTGGCCGATGATGACAATTTCTGTGGTGGTGGTGCACCTGAATTAGCCATTGATGAACTTTTGACACTGTATCAACCTACCCCTCACATGTACGAGATAGATTATGATGCGGTGAGGGTACCTGAAGTCCAAGACATGACATATTTAACTCCATACCACATGGACGAATCATTCAAAAATTTGGGTGAATTTTAAGTAGGGAAGCAATTTATAGGAAAAAATGAAGTTACGTTAGCGATTGAAGAGTATTGCATCAAAGGCCATGTTGATGTCCATGTTGCAGAGTCTAACCAGAAAATCATATATGCAAAGTGTGCAAAGTGTGTTAAATATAAGCAAGAGTGGAAGTGGAAGATGAGAGTGTCATAAATTCAGAGGCACGGTGCTTGGGTCATTACAAGGTACAATGGTCCTCACACATGTTTGCCAAACTGCATCAAACAAGACCATCGACTATTGGATTTCGATGTAATTTGCCAATAGGTGAAGGTGTTGGTAGAAAATATCCAAGGATCCCTTGTTCAGTGTTAACTGGATTAATCATAGCTAGTTCGAATATCATGTAAAATACAAGGTTTGGAATGCAAAGTTGAAAGCAATGAAGCTGACGCATGGAGATGGAGATACATCGTACAATGAGCTACCATAATTGTTACAAACAATGAAATGATTCATCATAGGAACCATAATGAATTCTCAAACAATGCATGTATACGACGAATAAGGTCAACTTGCTCCAGGGAGGAAAATATTTCATAGACTATTTTGGGCATTCAATCATGCATAGAAGAATTTCTATTTTACAAACGTATGGTTCCATTAGATGGTACATGGTTGTATGGTCAATATAAGCATATATTGTTGATAGCAATTGCGCAAGATGGTGAATGAAATATCTTCCCAATTGCATTTTCCATTGTTGAACGAGAGAAAATGGAGTTTGCGAGATATCCGATCGAGGAACGGGCATTTTGACAGTAATTGAACGATCGTGAAGAAGTTGGATACCTTCACATGCATATCCCACATTTTGTATATGCCATATTGGTAAGAATAGTATCGATTTGTTTCATAAAACCTGCATTCATATCGAGATAGTACGCATAAATAAGTTTTATTTTCAACGTGTGTATCCATTTATGTGTTTTTTAGTTGATGTTTAACACAATATATATATATATATATATATATTATGAAACAAGATCCAAATTATGCCAACCAAATTTTGATAAGAGATTGTAGAATTTGAAGGTGTTTTATGATGATGAGAATGTTTAGAAGTGGGCTTCGAAAATCCTATGGGAAAAATGGTTGCGAGCATACGATGGTGCTCGACGATACGGACACATGACAACAAACTTTGTTTAGACCATTAATATAATACTAAAAGGTACACATCATCTCCCAATAGCGAGTGTGGTGAAAGAGACATACTTTAGGTTGGCTAAAGTTTAGTCTGATAAAGGGAAAGAGATTAAGTGTCTCATAAATAGAAGTAGAATTTGGGCTCCTAAAGTGGTGGTAGAAAATGAGCGATTGCCAACCTCAATGTTTATTCATAACTTTAACCGAATTAAAAATATTTTTGTTTTGACATGCATATGCCGCAACGAAGGAGGAGAATGTTAAACATTTAGAGTTAATTTATGACACAAATGGTGTAATTGTGGCCGCTTTCAGGAATGGAGACATCCCTGTCTCATGCAGTCCTTGCATGTATGCATGCTGGTATAAACGCGTACACTTATATTGATGAGTGCTTTCACCTACTGAGGATATTAAATTCCCACATTTATGAGTTCAGATAGATCCCAAATGAATCATATTGGCCCAAAAAGGATCATGACGAATGTCTGCCAAATCCAATGCTTCGTAGAAGTCCAAAGGGTCGACCTGAGTCCACTTGTATTCATATCAGTATGGGTTTTCATATTAGAGAGAAAGGTAAACTGAAGAGATGTTGGTTATGGAAGAGTGAAGGTCATTCAAAAAAATGTCCAAATCTACCAAGATATAGGCCTTATCAGTAATCATATTTGTATTTGTATTTGTATTTGTATTTGTATTTTTATTTGTATTTGAATGAATATTTGAATTTTTTTTATTTCAATTTGAATGTATGAATAAATTAATGAATTTTAATCTAAATGCTTGGTTTATCTTATTTAGTTTTTGAATGAGTGTGATAGATTTCCATATTTTATTTGATTGAATGAATGTTTGGTTTTTCCTATTTATTTTTGAATTAGTGTAATGGATTTCCACATTTTATTTGATTGAGTGTAAGTTAAAAGAAATTAAACCATCATTTGAATAAGTAATATTTTATTTAATATTAAATTTTTATACAAATAACAATGGGCTATTTATAATTCTTGCTGGTGTCCGTGTGTTGTGGAATAATAATATCAAGGTGGAAATCGATTGCATTGTAGCTGTTGCGGTTGCTCATGAGTTTGGTAGCCATCCTTCTTATTCACAGAGGTGATATGATCTGATGTTGTACATATATACCCACCACTCTTCTCTCCCATCTCTGGTGGAAACGTAGAATGACAAATAATCGTATTTGACACCATAGATGTCATGTGCTCAAAATCATACTTTGATTCAAACTTAGGAGAGTAGATGAGTGCATGAGGATGCATCAATTTGGGTGGATGAGGATGCATCAACTTGGGTATGTATGCCAGAACAACAAAATCATCAAACACTTGATGAAATGATCCTGCATCGGCTAACAGTTGTGCTGAGCTATTACCTATAGGTTTTTTTTCCGCTTCATGGTGAGATGATTCCTACTCCCACTGAATATAGGTTTTTCAGCTTTGCCAAATTTTTTCTTAAATTTCATAATCTATCACCTTTCTCCCAACGTTGTCAGGTACGACTTTTCATTATCCCAATAATTATAATTAAGGTAAGCCGAAGTTTAAAAATCAAAGTCATCATCTTGAATGATATTAAGAGTAGGCAAGTACGAAGCTCTATTGTTCCAAGCATCAATGTAGTTCTCATGTTTCTCAACCCAATTCACGTTGTGCTTACCCCGTCCATCTAATCTGTGGAGGTGGTCGTGATCCCATGGAATTTGTGGAATAGGCTAGCGGAAGCCGAACTGCCTCAGCATTTTATCCAAAAATCGGATCTCAACAAAAGCAAAATGAATCAATGGTGTAACAACACACCAATATTGAGAACCATACAAAACATCTTATTGCACACCCGTAATAATTTCTTCATCTACGTATGACCAACAATTAAAATGTAAAATTAAAATTTATAGATATTAATTAGGAAAAATTATAAAATAATAATAAATAAAAAAATATATTTAAATAAAAAAATAATTAATAATATATTATATATTATATATATAACTTCTTTTTGCTATGAATATCGATCTTTAACCTAAACTCTTTAATATTTTATTATGCATCAACCCCGTTCTTTCTATTTTATGCCTCTATATGTATATCAATAAAAATTTCTTTAATTATTTTTAATCCAAATATATAAATTCTAATTAAGATTTTAAATTAAAATAGAGAATTCATATTGCCTTTCGGCAAGATAAAAGTGAATCGTAATTCGACTAATCGATGTTAAAAATAGAAGTTTGTATCAAGTCCATGATTGTAACAACATCAGCCATCAATTGATTTCAGTTGTATTATTATTATTTACTATTAATGACGCCTTGCTCATCTCACAGCACAAGAACGCCAATATCACTGATCCCCAACTATATCAGCGAGTATTCTCAAAATTTCTCAGAAACGGAAGATATTGTGTGTGAACAAGATTACCATGCTTACCCGACATCAAAACTCCCTCAATCAACTACAATATATATGTTTGAGTCGCATATAAAATTTCTTGCTGAGTACTATTTCGTTAGAGCTTAAATTGATTCACCAACCATGATAGCCTCAAACATCACCCTTTTAAATATGGTTTTACTGGTGTCTACCCAAGAAACTCATTGCAATGTTCTTCCACATCATTGTGATCATTTTTTAGCACCACTGGCATCCCGTTTCTTGGGACCCCGAGTTGCATGGTCACATCTTGTAGAGTTATCATCCATTCTCCACACAGAAAATGAAATGTTTATGTTTCTAGTCTCCAATGTTGAACCAATGCATTGATCAAACCCGGGACGAACTTGTACTCTTGAAAAAATGTTACATAGTAAAATCCAACCTATTACAAGTATTTTTCAATCAAAGGGTGCGACTTATCACAAATATTGAGTCGATGACGAAGGATTCACTGCTCGTCTTCCTACAATTAATGCATTCATGAAATTAATCAATTAATCATAAAATAAACTTATAATATTTAATAATAATAATTCATTAAAAGAATATATTATTCTATTAAATAATAATAACATTATTATTCCTAAATGGCTAGAAATATGTTGATTGTCAAGTTTCAGCAGTTGAGTTTGTTCTACCATTTGAGCGAATCTGTAAAAAATTAATTTTTTAAACAACAATAATTCAAACAAAAGTAATTTTATTTAATCTAAACTAACTAACTAACTAATTTTAAATAACATTAAAAAAATAAAAAAAATAAAACTATTTTTGTATTTCTTTCTTTCTTTCTTCTTATTCTTCTTCATTTCTTTCTTCTCTTATTTCTTATGTTTTCTTTTCCTCTCTTTTTTTTTCAATTCATACACAGTTACACCCTCCAATAACCCCCATATATATTAAAAGCTGTGAATTATTGTTGCATTATTGCAACTATCATTGTTTCCATGCAGGGAGCAGGCTTCAGTTGTGAATTATTGCTGCATCATTGCAGCTATTATTGTTGGCATGCAGGGAGTAGGTTGTATAAGAAGGCTTCATGGGCGTGTTGGGTCGTGGTAGGTAGAGATAGGGAGACACATTGTAGTTCTGGCATCTCCCCCATTCAAGGTTGAAAACACAATATCCTCATGGTGTCAATGCTTGATTCGCATGAACCACCATGTGTCTCCCATGATCACTGTAGCAATTTCACCATTCAAGCAAATAATTTCATAATCACATTATTTTATGAAATATTTTTTCTTCATTCAGAACATGCACAATTCATTTTAATAGTGATTGTTATTTGGATAAACTATTTAAATGACCATTTTAACTATATGATTGGACTCAATATGACCAACATACTTTCAATTTTGACAATGTTACCATATAACTATTTAAGTGGTTTCAATGTAACCATTTGTCGTTACAAAACAAAAGACGTAGCTGATGTAACTATTATTGGCTAACAATAAGTTAGAGTTCCACACCGATTATGACGTTTATTATCTAATGACATGTGGCTACATTGAAGCCACTTAAATAATTATGTGATCATATTGTCAAATTAAAAGTATGGTGGTCATATCGACACCAACTCCATAATTAAATGGTCATTTGAGTAGTTTATCCTATATTATTTTTTCCCTGTCAAAATACCCTTATGCCAAAAGATCTTTTTCATTCTCTTTCAATTAAAAAAACCTATTTTTAAACGATAGAGTTGAGGGGCAAATTCAACCCAATAATGCAGGCACTGGCATTATTTGGCCCAATAGGGCAACTTGAAATTTATTTTAGGATCTACGAAAAATGCTACAGTACATGGAAAATTAAGTCATGTTGGCATGGCGAGTTTTCCAAAATATTATTATTAAATTGCCCCAAGTCAGTGGGCCCCATGGAATCAAAATTATTTATTATTTTTCTTGTAACTCGCCATGCTTTCATGACGAGTTACATTAAAATATATTATTTTTTCAATTAAACTAATATTTTTACTTAATGTTTTAATGCACATGGAACTCGTCATGCCCACATGACGAGCTCCTTTTGAAATTTAAAATTTGTAGCTGTTATATGAACATTGAGACAACAGTCAAAATTTAAAAAATAATTTACTGTAACTCTCATGTGGGTGTGACAAGTTCCAACGGCTATATAAGGTTTTTTTTGTATAAATAGGAGTGAGTTGATGGTGTTTATATATGAGAAGTGAGGAAAAATTTAGATAATCAAATCATGCAACCATGGGAACAATTTGGATATGATTTAGCGAATGGTGTTTATGGGTTTAACGACTCTGACTCTGACCATTCGAATTCAAGCTCCTCTTTAGATGAGGAATGGGTAAAGGAGGCAATAAAGTCATAGTTGAGTAATATAAGAACAAGACGATGAAAATCAAGAAGAAGAAGTATGAAGACTTACCAATCCAACGTAGCAAATGATTCGTAGAGATGGATGAAAAAAATAAAAAAATAAGTATGGAATTTAAGAATGATAATAATAAGAAGAATATGAAAGACAAACATGAAGGCTTATCAATCTAACGTAGTAAATGAATTGTAGAGAGGTCTGAAAAAAATGAAAAAAATGTATGTAAAAATGTTGAGTTTTATGGTTATTTTTCTTTATTTATTAAGTAATTATTGAATTAGGTAAAGTTATTTATAAATACTTTTCAATTATGTAAGAATTGAAGTGGAAGATGAAAATAAGGACGTTGAAAATACATAAACACACATAAAAAGTACAATTAGGTCATTATTGAATTAGGTAAAGTTACCCAAACACCATTTGTAAGATCCTTGATTAACCCTAACTTCTATTATTTCTTTCCTATATCTTATTCGATTAACATTTTCTTTAATTTCAAATGTAGTGTAGGAACATCATTTTGAGCCATAAGCTGGAAGATTGGATATGTGAAGAATATCTTTCGAAGCAAGCTACAACTCCTTCCACTTCAAATACTAAATCGGGAGATGCATCTCATAATATAGAAGTTGAACTTCAAGAACTTGAACTATTTATATAAAGAAGGAAACAAGAGAAAGAATGCAGGATTGAAGAACTTAACATCTGACGAGTCAACTGAATATGAAGATTAAGATGTAGGGGTGAAGAGTTAATGATTCTAATGTAATGTAATGTAGTATAGTGTAGGAGTTAATGCTTGTGTATACACTATATTTTGTTCGAACTTCATTTTAGTCTTACAAATTAAATTATTAGTATTGTTTTTCATGTTAATTATTTTTTTAATTATTAGTATTATTTATTACTATTTATTTTATTTTATTTTATTACATATTAATTATGTTTGTTAATTATGATCATTATATAGGTGGGTTATTATTTATATTATAATTATACACATATACGTTTAGTGGTTAATTACTGCCAAGCATCGGATTTGTTATTAATTATAGCCACATATTAGATATAAGTATATATATGAGTTTCAATTAATAAATATTTATTATAAAGTATACTAATATAATTCTTAAATAAAAGATAATACTAATATTTATTTATTAATGTATGGAGAGGTCCAAAAAGGAATCCAATATAAAAGTCCAAGAGTTTTTATTACAAACAAGACCCAAGAGTTACAATCAACATCCCATTTACGATTGAAGTCACCCATTACAAGGCCCAACAACTAATGGAAGCCAAAATTGCCAAACTATTATGAAATTTCCAAAAATCCTAGTTGCTGCCTCATTGTAGAGTCGCTTGATGCTATTCGTGGGATCAGAAGGAGATTAACAACCTTGATGGATGAAACATATGTAGGGTTGAAAAAACTCTAGTTGATATCATCCAACCGCCGTTGCCAACACTAGGAGAGAAAAAACCGTTCGATTTGGTTACCGAAGATCAACGGTCTACATGCACCCTAAATTAGAGTTTTAGCCTAATACTCCAACATCCGCTACCTTTGACAAAGTTCAACCATCAATTTACCCACGCGTGTGGCACACGCACAAACATTCTAACTCCCAAACGCATTGTTTCATTTTCTCACCACCAAAACGTGTCTGATTTTTGTCCCCTACCAGTACATTCGTCACATTCAGAGGTCACGTCAATCGTATGAGTGATAGACTCATACGGGATCTACTTAGGCCCCCTCTACCAGAATCACATCATAGAATAAAGCCCTCCCCACATAGAGATATCAGAAGTCATTGGGGAAGGGATTTGAACCCTTCAGTGATCCACGGGGGATATATCGAACGGGGAAAGGTGGCTTTCC